GATCCTTGCTGTAGCACATGCTAGCTGTGCCACCCAGAGGAAGTTACCCAACTTCAAAAAATCTCAGTTTGCTCCCATGGAGAATGGAAATTATAACATTATATTTAAGAGGATATTTGGAAGAATCAAATACCATGATGTAAAGCACTTAGCACGGCGCCTGATGCATAACAGACGCTAGAAAGAGCCTCGGTTCCCTTGCCTGTCTTCTCCATGGATTCATCCACATCCTTGTAACGCCCTACATTCTGAGCACACAGGATTATAACCATTCCTCCTCCGATTCAATAAGAAGGCAACCTGGAAATCAGAGACTCAATCCCTGTAACGGAGAGAAGAACTGGCATGAAGTGCTAAGAGTAGAAGTGACATCAGAGCCTGTTGGAGGCTGTAACAGGAAACACTGGCAAGAGAAAGGCCTTAAGTTTAAAGGGCGTCATGAAGTCAAAAGAGACAAACATTCAGGCCTCCTGAAGTCCGCTGTCTACTGAAGCAGCCATTCATGCCTCTGGCCAACGTAGCCGCCAACAGGATCCTCCCACGTGGGCCCTGAGCTCTCCACCACCTGCATCAAGCCCCAGCCAAGGAGAAGGATGGGTTGCCTGTTTCAGAAGGAGAGGAACTGGCTACTGACAACACAGCTCCTAAAACATATATGCGGCTCCAGGGTGGTTACACGTGAGAAAAAGGCACTCCTAGGCAACTGCATCATAGCAACATCCTGAAGAGTCTGCTTGCACCGTCCCACACAGGACCGTTACAGCCTCGCCGAGGACTCAGGCGCGCCCTCAGAGGATGAAGCATGAGTGTGGCGGCTGGTGTGTGGCAGGACCGGCCTAGCGATCACGCTACCGCCAGCCCTTTACATCAGAGGGAGGAAGAGCGCCCTAGGGGGAGAACTGCCCCAGGACAGGACCTCCTTCTCAGTCAGAGACAGCGGCCTGTGAGGAGAAAGCCAGGACGGCCGGCGGATGTTTTCAGAGAGGAAGACAGAGCTGCAGGAGGAGAGACGCCGGCTGTCACGTCCTCCACCTCAGACGAGGATCTGAGCTCTAGGGGGAAACACTCTGGAGGGAAAGCCCACCTTTACACACAGAGACAGTGCTCAGTGAAGACAAACGTTGAGTGGCCGACCTTTTTCAGATAGAGAGAAAACCCTCTGAGAGGAAATGCCAGAGGGTTCACCCTCCACCTCATGCAGAGAAACAGAGTCCTCTGAGGAGAAAGGCAGGGGGTTGGAGCTCCCCTTCAGTCAGAGACCGTGCTCTAGGCTTTAGGAGGAGAAAGGCTGGCGAGCCAGCCATCTTCTTTGGGATGACCAGCTCACTTCTCCAGGCAGAGAGATACAGCTCTCTGACGAGAAACGCCCGATGGATGGAGGTTCTCCACCTCAGACAGGGAGACCGCACTCTGAGGAGAAATGCCAGATTGCCAGCTCTCTCCCTCAGAAAGAGAGCCAGCGCTTTATGAGGAGAAATCCCGAATGGTGCCCTTCGTTTTCAGACAGAGAGAAAGGGTTCTGAGAAGAAAAGACAGATGCCCACCTCTCTTTTTCAGACAGGGAGACAGCTTTCTATAAGGCGAAATGCCAGAGGGTCAGCCCCCCTCCTGCAATGGAGAGACAGCGCTGGAAGAGGAGAAACGCCCCATGGCAGACACACAGCACCTCAGATAGACACACTGTGCTCTAGAAGAGCATGACGGAGACATGTTCCATCGGCCCTCATTTTTGGACAGAGAGACAGTGCTCTCTGAGGAGACATGCCAGGTGTCCACCTCTCTAAAAAGAACAGGAAAGAATCATATGAACCGATCTGACAAACATCCAATGTATATATTGTTAAATAAAAAAAGCAAGTCGCAGAACAATATATACAGAGTAGTCCCATTTTGTTTAGAGTATACACACAAATAAAATTGTACCTGTCTCTATGTGTGTATATGTTTTTACAAGTCTAGAAGGATGCACACAATACTGGTGACAATGTTTCTCTCTGGGAAGGAAGGCAGGATTCAGTGGGGTGAGAGAAAGAAAGGGGACATCTGCTTTTTGCCTCTATAGTTTTTTCCATTTTGCTGGAAGTTTATACATTGAGAATGTTTTCATATGTTATTTGTGCATTTATGGATATGTAGTGAGGGGGTAAGGAGTTTGGGAGGAGGGTGGGAGAGTATTTTTCACACAGAGTCAACTACTGCCAGCCTTTGGGTGAACTCTCCTTCCAGAAGTCCCCCTATATTACATACACATATACAGATAAAGGTACAGAAAATACAGAAGTGAGATTCATGTATGCATTTGTTCATTCAACAGACATTTTAAAATTCCTACGATGTTCAAGAATCTGGGTATAGCTATAAACTTAAATTCCCTGATTTATGTAGTGAGGGCAACAGGTAATAAACAAATAAAAATATATAATTTCAAGTGGACATAAGTTCTACATAGAAAATAAACGAATGCTCTTACTGTAAATGCACCCAATGCAATCTGTCTAACAACAGGGGAATCTTTTCGTTTTGGTAAATGTAGATCCGCGGCAATATTTTTAATGGCTGGGCATCCATCGTATGGAGGATCATGGTTTCTTTTACACATGGTTTTTCTTTTTTTTTCTTTTTCTTTTTTTTTTTTTTTTTTTTTTTGCTGTACGCGGGCCTCTCACTGTTGTGGCCTCTCCTGTTGCGGAGCACAGGCTCCGGACGGGCAGGCTCAGCGGCCATGGCTCACGGGCCCAGCCGCTCCGCGGCACGTGGGATCTTCCCGGACCGGGGTACGAACCCGTGTACCCTGCATCGGCAGGCGGACTCTCAACCACTGCACCACCAGGGAAGCCCGGTTTTTCTTTTTTTATGTAAAAGAAGTCAGAAAAACAGAAATAAAAAAAGAAAGAACAGAGGGGCAGATAAAAAAGTAGCAAGATGATAAATTTAAATTCAATTCTATCAAGAATCACATTAATTGTAAACAGTCTAAACACTAATTAAAAGAGATTGATCTGAAAAGTAAGGCCCAAATATATACTGCTTAAGGGAAATTACCTTATATATAAAGACATAGGTAGGGTAAAAGTGAAAAGATGAAAAAAGATACACCATTACACTAATCAAAAGAAAGCTGGAGTAGCCATATTAATTATCACAAAATAGATTTCAAAATAAAGAATATTACTAGAGATAAACAGGGACATTACTTAATGATAAACAGGTCAATTCACCAAGAAGGTACATATGGGGCTTCCCTGGTGGCGCAGTGGTTGAGAGTCCGCCTGCCGATGCAGGGGACGCGGGTTCGTGCCCCGGTCCGGGAAGATCCCACGTGCCGCGGAGCGGCTGGGCCCGTGAGCCATGGCCGCTGAGCCTGCGCGTCCGGAGCTTGTGCTCCGCAACGGGAGAGGCCACAACAGTGAGAGGCCCGCGTACCGCAAAAAAAAAAAAAAAGAAGGTACATATGTTGAAGCTCTATTGTTAGGTACATACATATTCAGGATTGTTCCATCTTTTTGATGAAGGCGCCAAACAGTGAAGCTTCGAAATACATGAGACAAAATGTGATAGAGTTGAAAGGAGAAACAGACAAATCCACAACTATCAATGGAGATTTCAATATTCCTGTCTCAATAACTGATAGAACAAGTAGACAGAAAATCAGCAAAGATATAGACAACTAGAACAATTTTATTTAATTAACATTTATAGAATATTCCATTTAGAGCAGTATGCACATAATTTTCCAACGCACATAGAACATTCACATAGACCCCTTTCTGGGCTGTAAATTAAACCTTAATAAGTTTAAAAGAATTGAAGTCATACCAATTATTCTTGCTGACTACAATGCAATTAAAATAGAAAATCAATATCAGAACAATATTTGGAAAATCCTCCAATATTTAGAAATCAAACAAGTTGCTCATCTGAGAACAAGATATCTCACCATTTATTCAGGCCATCTTTTATGACTCTTGGTTGGGTTTCATTGTTCTCTTCATCTATCATGTATATATTTTAAAAGTTTATTCTAGGTATTTATTTCATTTTATCTTATTTTATTCTATAGCGTGGCTGCTTTTGTGAATGAGGTCATTACATTGTATTTCTAACTGACTCTAAGGACATTGATTTTGCTTTTTTGAAAAAAAATCTGACCTCCTTATTGAACTCAATATTTCCAATGATTTCATTTTATTCAGCTTTTCAACTGTGTGATCAGATTATCTATAAATAAATAAATTAATAATAATAATAATGACAATTTCCCCCTCTTTTAAAATATTTATATTTCTTCATGCTTTTGTCTAATTGTATTGACTAACACTTTTGAAACAATGTTAAATAAAGTAGTGGTACCCAGGACACTTGTTTTGTTCCTGATCTGGAAGGCGTGCCTCTGGTATCTCACTACTTACCCAGCCTGGTTTCTAATGGCTGCAGTGAACTGATGGGTTGTGAAGGCAGACACAACCCAGTTGCCTTGAGCAAGTAAAACTGAAGAACCTGGTTCCATGCAGTGAACAGCCTCTGTGGGGGGAAAGCTGAGCTAAAAGTCTCAGACTTCAGCAGAGAACCAGGGTTGCTCAAGTGCAGAAGTGCAGCGCCATGTATGCGGCTCTCCAGGTAGCTCCTCTGTTGGCTTTTGGAGAAGGAGAGGGGCTGAGAGCGTGATTTCAGGGGTGTGTAGACATCGCCTGACTTGGAGACTGAAATTCCTCAAGAAGTTCACTTGAGATCTGGGGCTTTTTGTTCTTTGTCCTGAAAAGATCCCACCGTTAGCCTTTGCAGCTTCCAGGAATTAGCTGACAGTAGTTCTGGGCTGAGAGGAGGGGCAGAAAGCCTGGGAAAGACACTGGTCGCTGGCTGGCGTGCAGTGCGGGGGAAGAGATTGTTAGAAGGACTGTTAGAAGGACGCAAATACAAACCTTACTCATTCCACAGTGTTGACTGAGGCTTCCCCATCCTTCCCAGGGCCCCTTATCAAACCTTAGTGAAGGGAGTTCACACCTCTGAGGATCAGCTGGGTATCTTGAGGAAACAGCCCAGGGCAGTCTTTGGTGCCAGAAAATCCTGGCCGCTTCTTCAGAGGTGTGAACCTCAAGGTCACAGCGCTACAGTGGAAATCATAAAATCCACTTCACAAGAAAGGCATGAAGGAATTCAATAATACACATAAAATTCCTAGCCCAGTTCTAGGCACATAAATGCTTGTTGCCTTGCTGTACTAAGGAGGGGGGAGGGAGGGGTTTACCTGATCCTTATTATGTGGATGGGGCCACTGAGGCTCTGTGCAGATGTCTGTTTTCCTCCTTTGCTGTTCCTAGGACTGTGAACCTCAGTAGTTAGCATGGGGTCAGCCTCGGGTGATTTCTACAATAATAAAGGAGTATTAGAAATGCCTGTTGTTTTTGCCACCTCCGTTGCTACCTGACATGAAATAGACTATGACGAAAACACTGTGGGCTGGGTGGGACAGTCTTGAATCCCACCTTCATGCTTCCCTTTTAGGCTACTTTTGACTTTAAAAAAAATATGCACAATGTGAGAGTCGCGAGTTAAGTTTTACTTGGGGCAAAATGAGGACTGCAGCCGGGAGACAGATAACGCAGAAACTGTCCAAGGAGGCGAGGGGAGGAGCCGGGATAATAGAGGAGTTTTGCAACAAAGGATAGGTAACTGGGAACATCAAAAGATTATTGTTAAATAAAGAAAACCAGGTATCTCAAGTTAAGGAATTTAGCGCTTTTCTACGTATGGGAAGATGCAAGAGTCTGGGCTCACTGAAATCATTCCTTTGATATGCACCTCAGCTTTCTGGGGCCAGTATCCTGTATTTTCACAAACAGTTTCCTCAGGGCTCACCGCAGGGAGTGGCTGCAGTCTGATGGCTGCTAGATGGCAGGTATTCTTTTCAGCCAGGAGTTTCCTCAGGGCTCACCGGCTCACGCTGGAGGGCTCAATCATCGGTGACTGTGACATCCTTTGTTTATCGATATGGCAGGAAATAGTCCATTTATAAATATTCCATTTATCGCTACCATGCCGCCCGGAAGGATGGGGCAGAATCTCTCTCTGCTATGGTGACACCAGAGGTAAATGACTGAGTGGAGAAAGCGCACGCCTTGGGTCAGGCAGCTGCTGCCTCTGACCTGTCCTGGTCTTGTTAATGGTGGTGGTACCAAAACATACTCAGAAAGAGCCGTCATCACAGCTGCCCCCTGTGTGATGCCATAAGAGCCGTCATCACAGCTGTCCCCCGTGTGATGCCGTAAGAGCCGTCATCACAGCTGCCCCCCATGTGATGCCGTAAGAGCTGTCATCACAGCTGCCCCCCGTGTGATGCCGTAAATCTCTAGCAAAAGATCCTGAACATCGTATCCACCTTCTCTCCAAGTAACTTTGTTTTAGGAGGGAAAGTATCATTAACACACAGACTGAGTTCACTTGAAGAGGAGAATCACCAGGGGTGCTGGATGAAATGGTAGACACGGTCTAAATAATAGAATGTTAGCCCCACGAGGGGGATGGTGCTTCTTGGTGACCTCCCTGTGCTGTGACTGGTACAGCAGAGAAAGAGCCAGGACCAGATCAGAAAGATGCCTCAGTGCAGAGGAGGGACATCCTATCAGTGACAGCCAGAAGGTGAGACTAGTTGGATGTAGCAACTGGGGTGCAAAGGAACAGAGGTGGGGAGGTCATAAAAAAGAATGACAACAAACTAGTGACTATAACAAAAAAGAAGCGGACTCACATATGGAGAGAACAAACGTGTGGTTATCAGTGGGGAGAAAGGAGCGGGGAGGGGCCACATAGGGGTAGGGCAGTGGGAGGTGCAACCTACTGGGTGTAAGATAGGCTCAAGGATGCATTGTACGACCCGGGGAATAGAATCAATAATTTTGTAATAACTGTAAATGGAAAGTAACCTTTAAAAATTGCATAAAAATAAAAAGTATTTTATAGCTACTAAATTCCAGCACTATATTAAGAATAAAGTATTTTCTTTATGAACCTTCCAAAAAACAAAAAACAACATGGCTAGGAGCCGCCCCCGAACGCTGGCTCCAGCCACAAGTTCCACCAAGCATTGTCTTTCACTCACATGGGGCGGGTCTGACCCCCTGCTTCCGCTCTTTCCAAGAAAAGACAGTTTAAGCTTCTAAATGCCACACATGAATGCTCAGTTTTATAACTTCCTTGTGAAATGAGTTCCCAGAAAAGTCACTGTTTTGTTATTCCCTAAGTTCAGTGTTAGGGGGCCTGAACCTGGAGACAGAGACAAGCCCTCAAGTTTTTCTTTCACACCAGAAACCATCCACATGGGACAGCGACAGCCCCGTCCCACCCCAGCCAGCCAAAATGTCATGTGAAGTTGGGCCACGTCTTTCTGACTTGGTTTCTTCAGGAGTTGAGAATCTATCAAATGACAAACATGGAAGTAAGAAGAGGCAAAGAATACACATCTCAGCGTTCTACGTGTGACTAGAGACCGAGGGGCCCTGTCCCCTGCTGGTCTCACCTCTGGTTCCCTGGCAGAGAGCTTTCCCTCGCAGGTTCCAAGGAGTGGCTTTTTGACACATGGAGGAAACTGGACATTTTCAAGCACTAGGAGGCAGTTCGGTCAAAAAGTGAATTTTGCCTTTTCCGTAAAGCAGCCGCCTCTAGGCCTGGAGGGGGAGCTGTCCACAGGGTGGATTGCAAGGAAGAGGCTGACATGGAAAGGAGAGCTCAGCCCTTCTGAAATGAAAGACAGCACACGGAATAAACTCACTCTCCACCACCAGCAAATGCTTTTTCCCTGCGCTGTGGCCCAAAGGCCTGTCCGGCATTTGCCCACTTCTGTGCTTAGTCTGCGGCGCAGGCCCGGTGATGGCCCCTGTGGGCCTTTCAAGAGAGCGGCCAGAACCCATCCAGCCATCGTAGGTGTGGAGACCCCCATCCAGGCTGGTCATACCCTCTAGGCTGGCATTCTGGAACTGCAAACAGGAGAAGTTAGCCTTGTAGGCAACCAGGAGGCCAGAGAAGGAGGCCAGCTGGTCCACAGACAGAGAGGAGGCAGATCTGACCAGAAGACAAGACACTCAGGTACAGCACTGAGGATTCTCCGGTTCCTGGACCCACGTCAAGCCCTGACCTGCATTCTGTGAATCATCCCTGCACCCTATAACGTTTAACCCCGATTTTAGGTCATATACTTAAACAAACAAAAAACCTTGTTCAGTATTGAAGTGAATTGGACCCGGGCTTCAGTTGATTGCCACCGAAAGGGTCTAAACTAAGACAGAAGAGAAAGTCCTTCTTCATCTGGGCTTTATCTCACCCACGGGCGTCTGACTCCGTTTCCTTTGTCCGTGGCCTCAATCACCTCCACCGGCCACTTCCACCTTTTGATGACGGGGGTTCCTCGTATGTGAGTCACCTCTGACTCTGTGTGACCTTTGGAAGGCCGCCTGGCCTCTCTGCGTCTCAGCCGCTTGTCTGTAAGACTGCAGTTGGCTCAGCTGCCACACTGTGCTGGAGGGAACCCTTGGTAAGATCTCAGGATCCTTGAAACATGTTTTGCACAGGCAGGGTTGTTGCACGAATGAACCCCGTGCTTATTAAGTTAGCTGCAGACTCTGTTCTTTCAGCCCCGCATGTTTGGGACCCTCTGTAATCCGGTTCCTTTCTCAGCACCCTGGCCCAACTCAACAAAAGCCTCCTTGTAAGAGGGAAGTCTCATGGCCCAAGGAGTAGGTGGAGGGTCCTGCCCTCTCTGGTGGCAGGGGGCCCATTTCCAGGAGTGATAGAGTTGAAAGAGAAGGGGATTTGGAGTCAGGAGTCCTGGATTTCAGAGCTGGCTCTAGCATTTGCTAGAAGTCTGGCCTTGGGCGAGCCTGTCAAATTCTCTGAGTTTTAGTTTCCAGATCTGTAAAATCAGGGTAGAAATGATTTCCCCTGTTGTGGCATTGTTGAGAGGATTCAAGGGGACAATATTTGAAAGTGCGTTGTAAGCCAGAAACCCCTACTCAAATCGTGTGTTATTAAGTATCATGATGCAGTTCTTTTTCACACCATGCTCAGATGTTGCAAAGTAAACATAACATCTTATTTTTCATAACTGACCTAGCTGTCCCCAGGAATGCCACCTCTCTGGGGAACAACTGTCACAGCAAGGATGTCGATTACAACTTGTCAGATTCCAAACGCTTTCTACATACTGTTTATTTAATTCTTACAGCAACTCTGTGAAGCAGGTGCCAATGCCAACTCCAGTTCAAAGAAAAGGAGGCTTGGATAGGCTAGTTAATATCTGAGTCTCTTCCTACTTCAATGGTCTCTTTTCAGTTGAAAGCAGTCCTTTTCAAGGACATGCTGAGCTCTGCCCCACTCCATCCTCCTCCCCAAGATGGCCTCTGAGTAGGGGGAGTTCATGGAGTCCTTGTGGCTGCAGAGGTGGTCTCTGATGCCTGCGGTGCCCTTGTACTATTCTCTGTACTGTGGGACATGGCGCCCCCTGTCGGCCTGATGCTGCTGGTGCTGTGGCCCCTCTGGGTCAGCGCAGACCCAAAATCCCCCCTGCTGACTCAGCCCCATCTGGCTATTGGTGGAGCTGGGTGTCCCTCTGACACTAGCTGAGGACACTATTGCCCCTCCGGCCCACAGGGTCCTCCTTGAAGCCTCCATTGTGGCAACACCCCACATAAGATCACCACCCAGCCCCCTCCACTCACCATGTCCCCCTACGTGGCTTATAGAAACTCTTGGACGCCTTCCAAGCCACACGGGGGCGCTCTGCCCAGAGGCAGCGTCCCATCCGTTTTACTCTGATGTAGTCACCCCGGAAATATTTATTGAGCACCTACTATGTTCTGGGCACTGTTCTAGGTTTTGGGGATCCGTGAACCAAACAAACATCCCTGCTCTAGTGGAGCTGACATTCCAGCAATGCCATGGCAGTGGACAGGGCATCCTCCTAGGGGGTCTCCTCCCAGGGTCCCAAGATGTGGTGCAAAAGCCCCTCTCACCTCGGCCTCCCTCTCAACTAACAGCGCCCCCTCCTGGGGAGAGAAGTCCAGGCATACTGATCTCAACCCACGCTCAACCCATGTAGCCGGAAGGTATAGGCATTTCACTTTATGGTCCTCATTGGCAAGGGTTTCCTTTGCCCCGATCCATCCCCTTCTGGGCAGTGAATTGGGAAGGGCTGAGGGGGTGTCTGCTCTCCCTTCCACTCTTTGATAGAGATGCAGGTGGTCTCAGCTCTTAACATGCCAAAGGGAAATATTGGGGATTTAGAAAAGATTTCCCCTCTTTCTACAAAAACTGACTTTCAAGAGTATGGTCCTGATAAATAGGCAAAGAAAGTCAACTTTGAGACTCAAAATCAAATGGGGACCTGCCCTGTACTTCCTTGGGTGTGTCCAGCCTCGGGGTTCCGTGTTGGAGGTACAATGTTGATAGGGAACAAAAGATTTCAGGGGAAAGTGAAAATACATCAGCAACCTCAGGGACTAACCAGGACAGAAATATCATCAAACAAGTCTCATATTCTGACACATATGCTGAAGGTCAGTAACTTTGTCATGTGTTCCCTGCAACTTTCACTATAGCTCTTTATGACAATGTCAGTGGGGATTGTAAAAAGATTTACACCCAGTAAATCTTTCTTTGAATGAACAAATGATCTATTAG